CAGTAGGTACAAAGGCCTGGGGCCTGGCAGAGCCAGCGGGGACCAGAACATTGCCAGTAGGTGGCAGGAACAGGCAGACTAGAGCAGGAAGGCACTGGGGTGTCTACATGTTTGTTTCCCCCTCGGCTGCATGCAACACATTTAGATTTCCTGACTTCCAGTTTAAACAGAGCTCATCCTTGGGGTTTCTGTCTGCTCTGTAGTGGCCAGACTGCAGCAGCCTTTCAACAAGGATCCCTCCTCTTGTCCCATTCCTTTGATTTCGGGGTTCGCCTTGCTCTTTCCTCAGAAGGCCTTATCATGTCTCAGCCCTCCCTCACCTCACAGCGCTCTCAAGGCTGCCTGATCAATGACCAGCATGAGCTTATATCTGTGGTGCCTGGGAGAGCTGCGGTCACAAGGAGGGGAACAGCAACATTCAGGGCCACCCTGAGAGGCTATGGCTGCACACTGCGCACTGGACTCATTGCCGCACCAGCCCTCCTCTGTTCTCTATCCCAGGTGGCTCTGCCCACAGTCTGTCTCTCGCCTGATTCAAGGCAGCTCACCCGACTGACCTGAGCCTACGTCTTTAGGGGAACAAAACCCCAGCAGTTATAACCTAAGAAGGTCATAGTCCCAGAGCTGCAGGGCCAAGTCACCAGCTGTTCTGAGCCCCATGCAGGGCTCCAGTGCAAGGAGATCCTGGCTATGTATGAGCAACTGAGAGATGGAGATGGAGACAGAGGAGAGAGAAACATAGAACAGACATGGGGAGACAGAGACTGTGAAAGAGAGACGTAAAGACAGAACGAGAGACAAAGAGAGGGGGGGGGGTAAAGAGCAGGAACACTGGGAAGGGAAGAAGATGTGCAGGAGAAAACAGGAAACTGTACCCCTATGGTACTGTCAAAGGGCCCAGGGAGAAGAGCCCATGTCTGGGATGGGCTGGAGACATCTTACCAGATGGGATAGGTCACTCTCCTAATGCAGTAGTCCACCAGGACCCAGCAAGCCGCTAGGCAGAATCATCACTCCAGGCTACAAGGGATGCTATGCCCCAGAATTGCCCCTACTACTGTTGTTACAGGTGTGTGTGAATGCCAAGCCCCAAAGTGAGGCTGTGGCTTGGTTGCTGGTACTCGGTCCACAGCAAGCATGCATGCACCTCAGCCTACCACACATCCCCAATTAAAATAAGGACACCCCCCAGCTCCTCCCCCCCCGGGACCAGTCCCTAGTAGATAGGCCCATGTGCCCAGCTTCCTGCCCTGAGGACACAAAGGGTGAGAGATGAGGTGACCACGGCTTCCGGGAAACCTGCCTGGTATGAGGGACAAACATGTCCTTCACGTTGCTGTCCTGGGGAGCTGGCACTTCTTTACTGCACATGTTATCAGGGTGAAATTTGCACACAGCAAGTTTATAAGCATGCACACAGAGATCAGATGGCACACATAGTTGTGCGATGTCTACAGACAGGCTCCCCGTGGCCTCCACCTTTCCTCAGGTGCAGCCTCACATCTGGACATCCAGGCCTAGAGAAGGCAAGCTGACTCCTGGATCCTCACCCTCCAGGATGCCTTGGTTTGACCCCAACCCCAGCACCTCCCATTCCTGCAAATCCATAGGTATCAATCACTCACCCCAGAAGGACCCCCATTACTGTCAGCTACCCCTGTAGTTTCCACGGAGCTGGCACTCGTGATCTGGAAGAGAAGAGAGACCAGTGTGAAGTGGTTCTCCAGTCACATGGCACGCCCCATGTGGCAGAAGACATTTCCTCCACCCAATACCTCTGTGTATCGAGGGGTAGTGTGTGTGACAACTGGTCTAATAAAGGCTGGGACTCCAGGAGCCACACCACTCCCTGAACTGAAGGCACCTGGGTGTCAGCAGGTGAGGCTGACTCAGCCTACCCTAATCCTGATACTGAAAAAAGTCACACGTTGTAGAAGGATGAGGTGGTCCCTGAGGATGCTCTCCCTGAGGATGCTCTCCCTGAGGATGCTCTCCCCACCCTTGTGGTCCGTGAACACTCTGCAGGCTTTCTAACGCTCCGGGCCCTGCTGACTAACAACAGCCTGCTCTGTACCCTTTGTCTCTAAGTCGCTTGCCCTCAAGGAGCTCACAGGATCCTTCCAAGAATGCTAACCTTTCCTCAAAAATATATCCAGGGCCAGGTGGTGGTGCATGCCTTTAATCCTCGGGAGGCAGAGGTTCGAGGCCAGCCTGGTCTGCAGAGAGAATTCCAGGACAGGCTCCAAAGCTACACAGAGAAAACCCCGTCTCGAAAAAACAAAACTAAACAAAATCCCAGGAAAAATGGGAGCAGATTTGATGTAAATAATAAGGAAAAGGCAGACCCTCTGAGGGCAGGAGGCCAGTCAGCTGGAGGTGGGTAGAGACTGAGGAGTTAGGAGGGGCCAAGTGTTCCCTCCAGATGTACCTGGTGCGCGTGAGCAAAGCAGCCCATGAAGGTGGGGGGAGTGTGTGTGGTGGGGAGGGGCGCACATCACTGTCCCAGAGGACTTCTCTCCAGGAGTTTTTGCTGCACCCTCTGGTGCAGCCTCTAAGGCTGCCCTCCCACAGGGCAGAAATCATCTTCCACATCCAGTCTGCTCTCTAATTCTGGGGAAACCCTAACGTGAGGGATGGATGCCCATCCCCAGTCCCTGCCTCAGTCGCCTCTTCTTATTGTACCCTTGGGGCCACTCCACAAGGGATGGGGAACCATATACTCCTGGTACTACTGGCAGAAGGGTTGGAGCTGATACCTCAGGGGTGCAGGAGAGTTTGGGGAAAAAAACCTAAGCACAAAAAGGCATCCACTTGCTGTTCCAAGTGGAGTGGAAGAGGGGCACCGTGACCTGAGGATATTTGTACCACTGCAGTGACCTGGGGGTTATCACTGAGCTTCTGAGGCTCAGTTCTAGGAAGAAGATAAGGTTCTTTGTTGCTCGTGGCTATCTTCATGACAAAATAGCCACTTAAGGAGCGCTGCCTCCACACAGACGCTAATGTGCAAGGCAGCAGGCCCAGCCGCTTGCAGTGCTCCGCAGCATAGGGCAAGCAGAGAAATGTAAGTTCAAGCTGTCTGCGTAACACCCCCCAGGCCTCTCTCCCTGGCCAGGAGTTGACTTCCCACTTCCCTTTGACGACAGGCTGCTGACTCACAGGCTGGTCTGGAGACAGGCCGGGCTCTTCATCCTGGCTACAGGCACTGCTGAAGGCCCTGAAGGTCTCGCTCTTCTGTTTATGCTTCTCCACGGTGGCCTGAATAACCTGGACACACAGCAAAGCCACAGGGCTGTCAGGAAGGACCCTGAGAGCTCATGGTCCAGGTGCTCCAGAGAGCACCCTTGGTCATCTATGTTATCCTCATTGATGACTCATGCCTTGGAGCCAATATGACCAAAGAGACTGGCTCCAGAAAGACATACCTAGCCCGAGGCCCCTCCTGGCCTTGGTTTCTTACTTGCGGAGAAGGGGCTCAAACAAGTAAATGAAAGGCTTATGGTACCTGAAAGCGTAGAGAGAGGCACCCCATGGCCACTTCCTCCCTTCGGCATGAGGACAGGCAGTACTAGCATTAGGGAAGAGTACCTAGGCCATGTGGTCCAACATGAAATGGCCATACTACCAGTAACAGGAGGATGTAAGGCATACGTGGTGATGCATGTCTGAAATCTTAGCCTTCAGGATCCCAAAGCAGGAGGCTTGAGGGTTTGAGGCCGGTGTCATTCCCTTAAAAACCTATCCCCAAAACACAAGGGCTGACGATTGTAGCTAGCAGCCGAGCCCTTGCCGAGCAGGCCCCAGGTTCTAGCTTTTATCCACAGGAGGGAACAAACTCGAGAAGCTTCACCTGAATCCATTCTTTCTTCTCTTCTTCTGTCCTACGAACACAAAACCAGTATTTTATCAGTCCATCCGCAGGCACCCACTGCATGCCTACTTAGCCACTCGCTGTCTTATGGCTGCAGCTCAAGTCTGGAAAGGTAGTTTCAGTGTTCAGGCCACACGTGGGCCCCTGGGGCTAGTTCACCTTGTAGACCAACAGCACCCTGGACCCTAGCAGGCGATTACCGAGTTCTCATGTCATAGGTGAAATGGGACTGGATGTCTGACACACAGCCAGCGAGAGCTCAAGCTTGGCCTTGGGGGACAGCGTGACCAGACAGAGCAGGAACACCACATGCTGACCAGTAGTTCCCCCCTCAGAGTCACATTTCACAGAGGCAGCAACATGTGTGCACAAAAGCCCAAGTATGGGACTCTGTTCTTGTCACAGTTTGCAGAAATGAGACTCGGACTATCAACAAGGGGCCCTGTTGGTGATTTTTTTTTTAAATATCATTACAGTTAACTTAAAAGTTTTTGTGTATATGCACGGGTGTTAGTGCCACCTATAGAGGCTTAGGGGACAACTTGCAGGCGTTGGCTTTTTCCTTCTACCATGCAGGTCCCACCATGAAGGATGACACTCAAGTCATCAGGCTTGGCAGTGGTGTTTCTACCCACTAAGCCATCTCCCTGGTGCCAGTTGATAATACTGACAGGGTTTGTGCTATTCTGGGAAAATATGTGAGATTATCAGATGAATCTTGACACATTAACTGAAAAAAGCAAGATGAAGAACTGGTGTCCTGGCCAGCGTTCTGTCAAACTGACTAGGAAGAGGACCGTCGGGGGAGAGAATGTCTCCATCAGATGTCCTGTAGGCAAGTCTTGGGGCATTTTTTTTTAATGACTGATGTGAGAGGATCCAGTATACCGTGGGTGGTACCGCCCCTCTGCAGATGGCCCTGGGGTCATATAAGCAAGAGGGGTGAGCAAGCCACAGGGAGCAAGCTGGTAAACAGGTTCCTCTATTTCAGTTCCTGCACTGACTTCCTTCAGTGGTGGATATGACCTGAGAGTGTGAGTGGAATAAACCCTTTTCTCCAGAAATTGATCTCAATCATAGTGTTTTATCACAGCAATAGAAACTCTAACCAAGGGGCTAGAGAGATGATGGATCAGTGGTTAAGAACACTAGCTACTCTTCCAGAGGATCATAGTTCAATTCCCAGTATCCACGTGGGAGCTCACAACTGTAACTCAAAGGTCTGACACCCTCACACAGACATGCATATAGGCAAAATACCAAAACACATAAAATAAAAATAAGTAAATCTTAAAAAAAAAAGAAAGAAAGAAACCCTAAAACCCTAACCAAGACACATGCTATTTGTTATAGCCACCCTTAAGTGTCTGTGTGTGTGTTTGTGTGTGTACATGTGTTCATGTGTGTTGAGGACAGAGGTCAGTATTGTGTGTCTTCCTCAATCACCATCCACTCTACTTTTTGACACAGGATGTCTTACTGAACTTGGAGCTCATTAATCCACTAGGGTGGCTAAAGAGCAAGCCTGTCTCCATCTTCACAGGACTGGGATTACAGACACACACTGCTGTGTCTGAACGGAGGTCCTCATGCCACGTGGCAAGCATTTTACCCACTGAGACAGCGTTCCATCTTTAATTTAAAAATGCAGGCACGCTGGGCAGTGGTGGCGCACACTTTTAATCCCAGCACTTGGGAGGCAGAGGCAGGCGGATCTCTGTGAGTTTGAGGCCAGCCTGGTCTACAAGAGCTAGTTCCAGGACAGGCTCCAAAGCTACTGAGAAACCCTGTTTCAAAAAACAAAAACAGGGCTGGAGAGATGGCTCAGTGGTTAAGAGCATTGCCTGCTCTTTCAACGGTCCTGAGTTCAATTCCCGGCAACCACATGGTGGCTCACAACCATCTGTAATGAGGTCTGGTGCCCTCTTCTGGCCTACAGACATACACACAGATAGAATATTGTATATATAACAAATAAATAAATATTAAAAAAATGCACACACACATACACACAAATGCATGTGCACTCATGCATACACAGATGTGCAGAATTTTCTAGACGATTACTTAAGAGATGGTTAGTATCATAGTAACACAGGATATTAATATTAAATAACACTAATATTAAAAGGCTTAATTCGTAATTGTTGTTGGTAAGCATCCTTAGTTCTGTGAAGTGTTGAACTACAAGCGAATAAGAACATATTGAAAAGTTATCTCCTTCAGTAACAAGCCATCTGCTACAGTCTCAGGCTAAAGGTGTTCGTGCAGCTGCAGATTGCTAGCGCCATACCGAGTCTGAAGCTCCAGGGACCTTTTTCTTCCTGTTATGATGAATGTGCGTGCTGCATTTGGTTTTGCAATATCTTGCACCTGCAGGAAGACGAACACAGAACAGAGCAAATGAAGGCGAGCTGCTGTTTTAGCTGTTCCTTAACCCAGACCCATGGTCTCTGAATCAGAGGTTTTTCTTTCACTTGTTTTTTCCTGTGGAAGAGTCAAGGTGACCCCAGGGGCTCTCAGATCTATAAGGTGGGAATACTGAGGCTCAGGGGGAGGGCAGGTCACTGGTCTTGCCCACCCAGAGCTGGGCAAGTCTCTGTGTTAGCCAGCAGCTTGGCAAATGTACCTGTCCATCAGGACTCCTTGAGCCATTGTCCCCCGGCAGCCCTGGCCAAGTCTTTCCCCTCCGACACAGCCGCACCTCCGTGGGAGGGATAAAAATCTTAGAAGATCCTTGACTATGTCCCTCAGATGGTGCTGGAGCCCACATGGACAGGTGCATTATGGGTTTACAGGAGTGTACCCAGACAGAGTGAATGGAGTAGTGTTGTTTCCTTGGGGGCTCTCAGATTTCATCCTCTTCCATCAGCACAAACCACAGAGCACAGTTTCTCCCGGCAGCTCTCGGGCTGGTCCCTGTAAGAGTCCCTGACCTTGGTCAGCTGGTTAGGCATCACAGAGATGCAGACCTGGGCCCAGCCAGAAACCTCCGGGCTTTCTCACTGCATGTTGAAAAATGTATTAACGTATAAAAGCCATTTTTAAAGACTTACTTATATGTGTGTGTCTGTGTGCTGTTGTGTACACAAGTTCAGGTGCCCAAGGAGGCCAGAGGGAGAAATTGAATCCCCTGGAGCTAGAGTTAGAGGCAGTTGTGAGCCACTCAGTTCGGGTGCTGGGAATGAAGTTGGGTCTTCGGAAAGAGCAGCAGGAGCTCTTGACTACTGAGTCATTTCTCCAGCCCAGGACTGATTTCTCATAGAGCAACACGGCAAAAGTGGATTCTTCTAACTATGGAAGAAGCAATTTTTTTTTCTGTAGTAAGTCATTGCTTGTAATTATTTCTTAACCCGGGTCCAGTGGAATTTCTATGGAATGGGCAGTTGTTTAATCAAATCTTTGCCTTTTCAGATAGTTAGAGTCATTTAATTAGAAAATATTTCTGGAGCCGGGCGGTGGTGGCGCACGCCTTTAATCCCAGCACTCGGGAGGCAGAGGCAGGCGGATCTCTGTGAGTTCGAGACCAGCCTGTTCTACAAGAGCTAGTTCCAGGACAGGCTCCAAAACCACAGAGAAACCCTGTCTCGAAAAACCAAAAAAAAAAAAGAAAAAAAAAGAAAATATTTCTG